CGTAGTACTACGTTACGTTCGTACGTACTACTACTACTACTACTACTACCTAACTTACGTTACGTTACTTACCTTACTTAACTTAACTACTACTACTACTACTAACTAACTACCTACCTACCTACTACTCTCTCTCTCTCTCTCTCTCTCTCTCTCTCTCTCTCTCTCTCTCTCTCTCTCTCGTGCAGTCGTGGATGCACTTGAAGCTCTTTCTAGGCCATTTTTGCACATAAACAAAAGCCATTGCACAGTCCATAGTAACCAAGGAAGGATGATGAACCAAGAACTGAAAGAGGCAGTCACAAACATTCATTTTCGAAATGAAGAGCTCAAGTTGAGAGCCACTGAGATCATCCAAAAGGCAGCTGGTGAAAAGGGTTTAAAGATGAGAAACTGTTTGGTTGGACTAGGAGTGATCCCTCAACTTTTAACCATGCTTGACACTTCTTGCCCACCTCCTTTCCACCTTTCATCTCTACAAACTCTTCTTCAGGTCTCCCATGGTAACTCATGGTTAGTAAGTAAAAAGAATCCAATGTTGATTTCTTATTTCTGTTTTCCTTTTTGAGAAAGGGAGAGAATGGACCTTATATCTCTAGAAAGCCTAAAGGTATTCATACTACAAATCAGGCATTCATATTACAAATCTTACTGGCACTGCCGCTTCTTAAGCCTGCGATTTAGTTTTTGATGCAGCACGTAGAGGAAAGCACTTCTTAATAGTAGGTACAAAAGATAAAGCAGCTGATGCTATTGAATCATCTTTAATTATTATTTACTTTTCCATTTTTTGCAGTGGCAAAGCAGTCATTGTAGAAGCAGGAGGTCTAGAGAAGCTCTCCAAACTTTACTTGCACTCAATTGACCAAACAGTTCATGAGAACATATCCACACTGCTATTCTCAATCTCAGCCTTGAATTCGTGCAAATCAGAAATTGGGTCTTCATCTATATTCCCTCTTCTAATTTCCATGCTCAATTCTCCATTTGAATCAGTAAGAGAAGCTTCAATCTCATCCCTTCTAAACCTCTCAACTTGCTTTGAAAATCTCAATATCTTTCTAAGGCATGGAGCAGTTAAAGCCCTGTTTGAGTTCATGCAAAACCCAAATGGCAGAGGAGAGAGTAAAACAACTTTATCCAAGTTCAAAGACAGAGGAGGGAGAAACTCTGCTGAGTCCACTGCCAGAGGAGAGAGAAACACAACTGTATACAAGCCCTTTTGTAGTAGAGAGAGAAAGACTTCAGAATGCAAGAGCTTATATATATTGAGCAATATAATGGTGACAGTTGAGGGGAGAAAGACTTTGGAAAAGATGGTGGCTTCAGAGCCTTGGATTCTGGGGGGTTTTTTGAGAGCAGAAGAGGAGCCCAAGTGTCAACAAAAAGCTGCATATATATTGATGGTTTTAGTTTATTACAGTAGGGGTTTAAGGGAGGTTTTGAGGGCCACAAAGGGGCTTGTTCCTGCTGTAGTTGAGATGGGTCTTCTGGGAACTTGCAGTGTCTTGAGAGAGAGGTGTTTGAGGATAGTGAAGAGTTTGGGGAGAGACAAGAGTTGGGCTCTCTAGAAGAACTTGGCCTAGAGAGAGAAAGAGAGAGCCTTGGGATTTGGTGCAATGATGCAGCCACTAGTTTGTGCATTTTCAGGGAAGGAAGAATAGCTTCTCTTGCTGTTACATACTTGAGAAAGGAGGACGACAGCCTCTCTCTGCTCCAAAATCTCGAGCAATTTACATATGCATGCAAAAAAATGGTTGCAGCATTGACCCAGAATCACCATTATAATTCATATTTTGGGTTATATTATTGAAGTGTTACTATTTATTTTGTATGTTTTTATTTTTGTTTTAAATTATTTGGTAAATATTTTTATTTCGATTTATCAATATCTTTCAAACCGCTCAAAATACAAAAACTCAAAAAAAAATTGATGTGATTGGGTAGTTTCAAAGTCAAATTTTTTAACTTTTTAAAACATTTGTTTTGAGCTAGTTCGAAATGATTTTTTTTTTTTTTTTTTTTTTTTTTTTTTTGCGGTTTGATAGTCAAACTTTCGAACAACCCAAACAATCATCTACAATTTGTAATTCTAAGGAGTGGAGTTTTGTAATTTTACACATTAGGTTCCAAACTAAGTAAAAGATTGGTCTGAAACTTCAACTTCCTAATAATATAATCAATTAACCCAAATCAGAACTTCAGTTCTAACTCCGCACCAGAAAAAATTAGTTCAAAACTTGAAATTCCAAAATGGAAATTAAGCAAAACAAAAAGAAATACGACAAGCTCTGAAAATTAAGCCAAATTCCAACCTAAGGGCATTTTGGAAAAAAAAAACATTTTGGGAAAAAAAAAACACAGAACATGTGCGTAAAATTATAAATATTTCAGACATTTTGTAATACCGCCAAAAGTAAAGGATATTTATGCCAATTTCTATCCTACAAAACATCATATTCTCGAACCAATCAAAAAATGTTTAATTAACACTTCTTTCATTCTCTGTTAATAATAAAAAGAACTATTTAGCCATAGTTAACAACCACATAAACAATTAAGAACTTTCTACACGTTCAGTTGTCCACCTGAGATCGAGTTGACTTCCAATTTTCATTTCCAAAAAATCAAGAAATATAATCATAATAGAAAATCCAATAAAAAGGAAGAAAAAATACAGAGACACACAGCAAATTAAAAAAATGAGATATACAAGACATGTCTACAAGTTACTTAGTAGTTTTATTTCTGTACTTCATCACCCCTTGGATTCACTTCCAAAGTATTACATTAAAGAATATTGATTTTGTTGTTTTTAAATGGGAAAAATATACAAGACATGTCTACATGTTACTTAGTAGTTTTATTTCTGTACTTCTTCACCCCTTGGATTCACTTCCAAAGTATTACATTAAAGAATATTGATTTTGTTGTTTTTAAATTGGAAAAATTTATAACGAGACCATTTACTTTTAATATCACAATCACTCTTGTTCCTCAGATTTCAAATTAGGTGATTGCGTATTATTGAATAGACTCTAAGTTCAAAAAAACAAATTCTTAAACTTTAGATTACCCCAAACCATCCAATTTGACTATCTACGGACAACTAGCAATCGAGACCTCCTTGTAACAAATATAAATGGTTATGGTCTCATGGATGCCTTCCACGAGCCAAAAGCTCCACAAAGGATTCTCAGAGGTTAAGGCAGAGCACTACTGTCCAGTGTTCAGATCTTAGAGTACCACCCAGGTTAAGGGTGAGCACAACTGTCCAGTGTTCGGATCACAGAGTACCACCCAAATGACATAGAGAGAACCACCGATTTGAAACAAAAGAATTGCCAAGGAACTCTCACCACTGTCTGGCCATCTGTGCTTTGAGCAACCAAAAAACCAAAACCACCAGTTGGAATAACAGTTTCTCATGGAACTCTCTTCACTGCGAAATCTTCTATGAATCGAGTAACCAACAAAACAGAAAACCAGTAAGAATGAATTCTCAAGCAAAGAAAAAATTCTCAAGCAAGGACCTCTCTCTCATGGCTGTGAGGGCTAATCTCTAGGCAGCTAAGCCTCCACCTCTACCCCAAAGCTAATCTTAACCGCTCAAACCTCTGTGCTTCATTTATACTCCCAACCCTGTTCATAAGCCCCACCATTCGCTCACAATCCTCTGCTGAAGCACCAAGACCATACTTCTTCGTCATGGACTCGAAGAACCTCAGAGCCTCACTAGCCAATCCTGCTCGATCACACATCGATAAGACAACCCCAAATGTAAACTTATTCGGCCTTAACCCTTCGAATTCCATCCTTCCAAAGAGCTGCATGGCTTCGCCATACCGCTCATTTACACCATGAGCCTCAATAATGGCAGTCCAAGTTATAAGCCCTTTTGAGCTCAATGTCTCAAAAACAAGCTTAGCCAACCCAACTTGGTTGCACTTCCCATACATGTTTATAAGAGCTTTCGAAACAAAGGGTACGCTCTCTAGAGCCTTCTTGAGCACTTGGGCATGAGCCTCCCTTCCGAGAATTTCATGGCCAGACACCCCACAGACCTCAAGGGCTCGAGCCATGGCCACTGAGTCTGGTCGGTGGCTTGAGCGATGCATGGCTCGAAATACAGCAAGAGCCTCTTCAGGTTGACCGTTATCCATATACGACCCGGCCATCACGGTCCACACAACCACACTTCGTCGCTCCATACTCTCAAAGAGCAGGTGGGCAGTGCGTGGAGTCCCACATTGAGAATACAACACCATGAGGGCAGTGGTCAGTGATACATTGGGGAAAAATCCCTGACGAAGAGCATAGGCATGGAGCTCTTTGCCAGGCCGGAGTGCGTTGAGTTTTGCGCACACAGGAAGTGCAGTCATGAGGGCCACCAAATCAGGCCGTAGTCCCTCTTGTTGCATCCACGAGAGAGCGCGGAGGGCCTGGATTGGAGCAGCAGTGCGTGCATATCCCGACATAAGTGCTGTCCACATAACAAGCCCACGCTCCTTGTGACCATAGAATACACGCCTGGCCGAACCCATATCAGCACACTTACAGTACATATCAATTAAACCAGCTTTAACAAACTCTTGCTGAGCATACCCAACTCGACGGATCGCAAACCCATGGACCTCTTTCCCAAGCCTCAGTGCGACCATGTCACCACAAATTGGAAGGACCATGGTAATCGCAGCCGAATTGGGCACAACTGCACCATCAAATTGCATGGCACGGAACACACCCAATGCTTCGCGCCTCAATCCATTGTGCGCAAACCCAGCAACCATAGCACACCACGCAACCAAATCTCGGTCACCAATTTCATCAAACACTTTGCATGCGAGCATTACATTCCCACATTTAAAGTACAAGTCCATCAAAGCAGTGAGCACGAACCGACACTCGGCCCACCCCGACTTCACTGCATGGGCGTGGAGCCTTACACCTTGGCCCAGGGCCGGCGCACCAGCACAAACTTTGATCAGCGATGTGAGCGTGTATTCATCGGGTGAGGCTCCCGCCTTGAGCATTTGGGGGAGGAGTGCAAGCGCATCTTGCATGCGCCGCCCTCCACGCACAACCGCTCCTCGGAGAAGCGCATTCCAAGCATGTGGCGTGCTTAACGGAAGCAACGAGAGGAGGGTGCGGGCATCTTCAGGGGCGCCACAGGCTGCATACATACGCACAAGGCGCACTCGGAGGAACTCATTGTCGGCCAGGCCGCTTGCACGGAGATGGGCGTGGGCATGGCGACCAGCTTGCAAGTCTTTGGCCATGGTGCAGGCGGTGATGAGGGAGGAGAAGGCGGTGGGGTTGATGGGGATGCCAAATTTTGTAGCGTAGTCTAGGACAGTGAGGGCTTGTTTCAGCTTTTGCTTCCTGCTTAGGGTTTTGATGTCTTTGTAGATGGTAGTGGGGTTCTTGCTATGAAGCGGGAGAGAGCGTGGGTTTAGGGGTTTTGGAAATTTGGCAATGGAAGCTGGGTAGAATTGCAGAGAATGTGGGTTCTTTTGTTCAATAGGTTTTAGTGTTTTTGGTTTTTTAGCAATGGAGGTAGTGTGAAGTTTCAAAGAATTGTGATTCTGTTTTGTGTTTTTGGGCGGTTTTGTGGGGTATTTGGGCGGTTTTGTGAGGGTAGAAGGTCTGGTTTCAAAGTGTCTAGGTTGCAGAGAATGTAGGTGGTTTTCTCTGATTTTGGGGGTTTTTGATAGCTTTGTGGGAGTAAACTGTCTAGGTCTATAATGCCTATTAATGGAATTGGAGTGGAGTTGCTGAGATAGATGGATTTGTTCTCGTGTCGTGGGGAATTTGGGCGGTTTCGGTAGGGTGGAAGGTATCATTTTGGGTGGTTTTGTGGGGTTAGAAGGTCTGGTTACAAAGTGTCTAGGTTGCAGAGATTGTTGGTGCTTTTCTCTGGTTTTGGGGGTTTTAGATAGCTTTGTGGGGGTAAAATATCTAGTTCTATATCGCTCGTTAATGGAATTGGAGTGGAGTTGCTGAGATTGATGGTTTCGTTCTCTTGTAATGGGAAATTTAGGCGGTTTTGGGAGGCTGGAAGGTATCGTTTTGAAGTGTTCGACATTGGAGCTTGGAGGAAGTTGCAGAGATTCTGGTTTTTCATCTCTGGTATAGTGGATTTGGGATGGCTTTGTGGATGTGGAACGTCTGGTTTTGAAGCGTCCTCCATTGGAGCTCGGATGAAGCTGCAGAGACTCGGATTTTTCATCTCTCGTTTTGGGGTTTTTATGCGGTTTAAAATGCGAATGGATTGATGGGTTTTGGTGTTTGAAGAAACGGGTTAGGAGCAAGGAATGAGCTGCTAAAGCGTCCATGGCAACTGATTCAGTTGTTCAAATTCACTTCATAGCCATGGATAATGTATGGTGCCCTGGTCATTCTCCTCCTCCCTCCGTTAAATTATGAATTGAGTTACATCTTCAATGTTGCGAGAGAGAGAGTATTTGAATTGAGAGAGAGAGAGTAGTAGTATCAAGAGAGAGGAGAGAGGAGAGAGGAGTAGTACCAAGAGAGAGAGAATAGTAGTATCAACTATCAAGAGAGAGAGTTGTTAAATCGAGAGTGATAGTATTCCCACGCTCCGTTTATAAGTTATCACATATTGTGGTATTTATTCTTACTATTAAGACTTTTCGTACTTTTAAAAAAATATAAATCTCTAATTTATTGATAAAACGGGTAGGGACAAAAATAAAAATCTCTAATTTATTGATAAAACGGGTAGGGACACGTCTTTCTCACTGCATTACCAAAAAAACAAAAAACAAAAAGAAAATTGAGACTTGCAAGAGAGAGTGACAGAAAAAGAGTCGTCGAATTGAGGGGTGAGAGTGATGGAGATAGAAAAAAGTTAAATTGAGAGAGTGATAAAGATCGAGAGAGAGAGTAGTTGTATTGCACCAAACTAGTCGTGGATCAGGACTTTTCTTTTGCCATTTTTATGCACTCCAATCCATCCCTTGTTGGTGACATCTAACGGTGTAGGGAGTGATAAGAAAGAGTGGGTGCATGACCCTTCTTTTTTTATTTCCCATGTAGCCTAATCTATCCCTTATTGATGAAATCTGACGGTGCAGGGAGCGATAAGAAAAAAAGGTGAATCAAATGATACTACAAACTATCTTTTCTGTAAAATATACCCACGAATTTATTATTAAAAAAGTCTTTTATTTTTTTGTACAAAGTGGTCACAATCATTTTTGTCCTTTAAATCTCAAAATGAGTGATTGTAAGAGTGTTATTGAATAAACAAATTCAAGACCCATACTTTTATTTTTTGATACTTTTTATCTCCAATTTAGAATAATTCAAATCGGTGATACAACGATCTGACACATATATCTAAGGTGGACAATCCACCCAATAGATCTCAATTTTGAAACACCGCTTATGATTAATAAGTTTTCACTTCTAAACATTAGTAAATTACATATGTAAAACAAAAAAGGTAGAAAACAAAAAAGAAATACTAATGAAAAGGTCAAATTTTGAGGTAGTCACTAGTTTTTTTTTTTTCTGTTTTTTAATGAAGTGGCTAAACCTCCTCAATTGTAGGGATGACAACAGGCCAAGCCTAGGCCAGGCAAGCCCTGACCCTAGCCCAATTGTGAAAGTTTAGACTTATGTAATCTAGATGGTATATATATTCTTCTTTTTTTTTATTTATTTTTCTTCTCTTTTCTTTTTCTTTTCTTGACTTAGAACACTCACAAATAGTCCATTACAATGTAACTGACTTGAAAATAAAAGAAAAAAACAAATCTAGGATCTAAAACTTGATGCCACTAAAACTTTTCTTTTATTGACTAAAGAAAATCACAATGCTATGCTTGATAATAACAAAATACATAATAAGTAAATATGGAAAGAAACAAAAAAGAGAGTGTCGGAGATTTACTTCAATTGGGCTTATTGCACCCCACAACAAGTCATCACCTTCCAATGGCGCGGGATCAATGGTCAAACTTTAATCTTAAACATGGGAGAGCAATTATGTCAAACTCTCCAATGGAACAAGAACTCATTTCAAACGCTTGATAGCAACGCTTTACTAAACCCTAACCCTTTAGGCCTTGAGAGATGGGAGATGAGAGAGATGATCAATCCAGGTGGGGAGTGCCCCCTATTTAACATAACAGAGAGAGAGATTGAGGCGTGCCCCTTATCAAAACTACAGAGAGAGAAACTCTATGTGGGGAGTGCCCCCTATTTAATATAACAGAGAGAGAGATTGGGGCGTGCCCCCTTATCAAAACTACAGAGAGAGGAACTCTATGTGGCGAGTGCTCCCTAATTTTTATAAGAGAGAGAAGAGAAGAAATTAGGTGTAGGAGATGTGGGAATGGGACATCCTTTATTATAGTGTTTGATGGGATTTAGGGTTTTTTAAGGTTTTTCATAGCTTGCTTCTTTTTACGAGATTGAATATGCATCATTGATCTTGGGTGACTTATGGGGTGAGAAATATGAACCCTCTATTTCATATATAGGTGCTAGAACCTTTATCCCTCATTTCTTAAACTATTTTCCCATCATTTAATTTAAATAAGAAATTAACTATAGTAATATTGTGCTTTCTTATTTAAGTGCACAAGCCTCCTCACACTTTCCATATTTGTTTTCAAAGCTTCCTTCAAAACACAAATTAACAAAACAGAAGATTTTCTTTACCCTCAAGCCTCAAGACTTGAACATATTAAGGAAAGTCCACAAGGTGGGGTATGTCACCGTAGGTGGTACTTTATGGGCCCCACCAAATTGACATGGTGGGCCTATATACATCTTTCCTATGCAATATTTAAATTATTAAAAATATTTTCTTATTTATAGAAATTCATAAAATCCAATTTGAATATTTAAATTAATATCTCTATTTTTATAAATCTAAATTTCATAAATAAACAACCCAAAAATTCAAAAAAATTTCAAATAACAATTCTAAAAAATCATATAACATTAAAACAAACATAATTGAATACTTTTGATGGTGGAAAGGATCCATATGGTATATGAATAAATAAATAAACATTGGGGCACTCCACGTTGTGGACTATGGTCCACACTTGCTCTCTCAAACGGACCAAGCGTTGCACATGACCCACACTTTATGCAGGAGCTCATTAATGGGTCACTAAAGTCTAGCCAATATGTAAGGAGTCGTAATCCCAGTATGTTGATTTGGGTTCTCCCCTAGAGAAGTACCAAGGTCACCTAGACCTAATACAACCACAGCTCTGTGATGCATATCTCACAGCCATGCCCCCTATCCCCTACCCCCTACCGCACACACTAGAGGATAATAGAGTGCTAGTTCACAACCACATGTAGCGAATTCCACTCAAGTGGGAGTGCGTTCAACGTTTTGAAAAGAAGGAATAAAAACAAACCACGAAAGAAAAACAAAACTCTAACCACACAACCACCACAGAGCAGGACATACAAGTTCCAAACAATATATAAAAACTCCAAAGTATTACAAGAGTCTAAGCAACCACAGGCCCAACAACATTACATGGCTTCAATACAAAGAGAATTATATGGTCAAACTACCATCTAAAACACACAATAAAAAAGAAGCTTCCACAAGAAGTACGGGGCTCCAACCACCAGACGCAATCACCAACTATTCGTCCATAACCCGCGGGCTATCACTCAACATAGATGAAAGTTAAAGGAGTAAGCTATAAAGCCCAGTAAGTAGATCAAGATGTCATGCATTCCTGCCTACACACAGTAACTCATAACAATACTCAAGGTTCATGCAAGTCTTACAAACATAAAACCATGTATTACAATTATATTTAGCAATGTGTCGTGAGTGATTCCTTTCACGGTGGAGTAATAACAAATCAATATCATATCATTCAAGCATGGGTATTAAAACAAATCAACACAATCAGGCAAGCATATAT